CACAAACATGGCCAATCAGAAGGTGTTGGCCGAAGCACATGCTTGTTAGGCCAACCCTTTTTAAGAAAGCTAAATACATTTTCATATAATTCATATACATATAATTCATATACATATAATTCATATACATATAGTTCATATACATATAATTCATATACACATAGTTCATATACATATAATTCATATACACATAGTTCATATACACATAGTTCATATACATATAATTCATATACATATAATTCATATACATATAATTCATATACATATAATTCATATACATATAGTTCATATACATATAATTCATATACATATAATTCATATACATATAGTTCATATACATATAATTCATATACATATAGTTCATATACATATAGTTCATATACATATAGTTCATATACATATAGTTCATATACACATAGTTCATATACATATAGTTCATATACATATAGTTCATATACATATAATTCATATACATATAATTCATATACATATAGTTCATATACATATAGTTCATATACATATAGTTCATATACATATAATTCATATACATATAATTCATATACATATAATTCATATACATATAGTTCATATACATATAATTCATATACATATAGTTCATATACATATAATTCATATACATATAGTTCATATACATATAGTTCATATACATATAGTTCATATACATATAGTTCATATACACATAGTTCATATACACATAGTTCATATACATATAGTTCATATACATATAGTTCATATACACATAGTTCATATACACATAATTCATATACATATAGTTCATATACATATAGTTCATATACACATAGTTCATATACATATAATTCATATACATATAATTCATATACATATAATTCATATACATATAGTTCATATACATATAATTCATATACATATAATTCATATACATATAGTTCATATACATATAGTTCATATACATATAATTCATATACATATAATTCATATACATATAGTTCATATACATATAGTTCATATACATATAATTCATATACATATAGTTCATATACATATAATTCATATACATATAGTTCATATACATATAATTCATATACATATAGTTCATATACATATAGTTCATATACATATAGTTCATATACATATAATTCATATACATATAGTTCATATACATATAATTCATATACATATAGTTCATATACAAATAGTTCATATACATATAATTCATATACATATAGTTCATATACATATAATTCATATACATATAATTCATATACATATAGTTCATATACATATAATTCATATACATATAATTCATATACATATAGTTCATATACATATAATTCATATACATATAGTTCATATACATATAATTCATATACATATAATTCATATACATATAGTTCATATACATATAGTTAATATACATATAATTCATATAAATATAGTTCATATACATATAGTTCATATACATATAGTTCATATACATATAGTTCATATACACATAGTTCATATACATATAATTCATATACATATAGTTCATATACATATAATTCATATACATATAATTCATATACATATAGTTCATATACATATAGTTCATATACATATAATTCATATACATATAGTTCATATACATATAGTTCATATACATATAATTCATATACATATAGTTCATATACATATAATTCATATACATATCATTCATATACATATAATTCATATACATATAATTCATATACATATAGTTCATATACATATAGTTCATATACATATAGTTCATATACATATAGTTCATATACATATAGTTCATATACATATAATTCATATACATATAGTTCATATACATATAGTTCATATACATATAATTCATATACATATAATTCATATACATATAGTTCATATACATATAGTTCATATACATATAATTCATTTACATATAGTTCATATACATATAGTTCATATACATATAGTTCATTTACATATAGTTAATATACACATAGTTAATATACACATAGTTCATTTACATATAATTCATATACACATAATTCATATACACATAGTTCATATACACATAGTTCATATACACATAATTCATATACACATAATTCATATACACATAGTTCATATACACATAGTTCATATACACATAATTCATATACATATAGTTCATATACATATAGTTCATATGCATATAATTCATATGCATATAATTCATATGCATATAGTTCATATGCATATAGTTCATATACATATAATTCATATACACATAGTTCATATACATATAATTCATATACATATAGTTCATATACATATAATTCATATACATATAGTTCATATACATATAGTTCATATACATATAATTCATATACATATAGTTCATATACATATAATTCATATACATATAGTTCATATACATATAATTCATATACATATAGTTCATATACATATAATTCATATACATATAGTTCATATACATATAATTCATATACATATAGTTCATATACATATAGTTCATATACATATAGTTCATATACATATAATTTATATACATATAGTTCATATACATATAATTCATATACATATAGTTCATATACATATAATTCATATACATATAGTTCATATACATATAATTCATATACATATAGTTCATATACATATAATTCATATACATAAGGCTGAACACCAGTGGGTCTAAACAAAATAACTAAACAAGATCAAATTAGCCTTCCACCAGATACACATTAGGCCAGTTTCATAACATATAGCAGAAACATAGATAAGAAGACCAAAGTTTCAATACTATTATCTGGTACCTTTCATTCATGTTTTATCACCATCATCATCATGTTTCAACATCTGGTCAGAAAGGAGACACAACACTGCATGAGTTCCCTTTAAATGAGCCTGCCTTCACACCAGCTGGGACTCACAGACTCTGCAAGTCTGAAAGATAAACAATAACTTTCTTTCCCAAGGTCCCATCTGTCTGCCTCCACAGAAGGAACAACTCCAGCTCCAATCAGTTGCTAAATTAAAGAATGATTTCCTAAATCAATATGAACTTCTTCCATGACTCATAATCTAGATAATCATTAAATAAACATTTGTTTATTACTACTTATAATAATGATAGTATAATGAAATGCTTCATTAATCTGTGCTCCCTGAATGGATGCTATGTTTATGTCTACTAGAACCTGCCTTGGGTTCAACATGTTTAGACGACGAGGTCCTCACACCTGCACTCACACCATAACACGTACGGTTAAGTTAGACTCCAACACATAGAGACTTTTAAACCAGTCAGAACGTCCTGTATCAAGAAGGCGTGTTTCTGAGTTGTCTTGGTAACATATCTCAAACTTGTCAGCCTCTGATTGGCTGTGTAAGTCATAACATCAAAACCTTAAAACTGGATCATCCTGAGTGATTTGATAGTTCTAGAGAATCGCTCAGACCGGCCACCTGTAGCAAAACCTCTTTAACCATCAAAGGATTTGACACGTCGTCTAAACCTTTTTGCACCTGCAGATGTCAGGATGTGCTGCATTACCATCTCTGCTTGAGTGTTGTTTACAGGTGGGTGTGTCTGGAGAGCCCAGCTGTGCCAAATCAGCTCATCAGCGATCAGGGGATTTAAGGAGCAGCTGGACATCTCACCATTGCCAGATGATCCTCAGTCTTGGGTAGTTTCTAGCCCTCCTTTTGACCTTCCTAAAAAGAATTTTAGAATTTGTTCTTCTGCCTGTTCCTGCCCTTCTGGCAGTTAACCTGCTCTGCCCTCCTAATTCCTCCAGGTTCCAGTCATCCGTCCATGCCCACTCTCTGCCATATCTCCGGAACCTTCAACAACATTCCAGTCCTGCCGTTTGCCCCTGATCGCCAGCTCTCCGTCACCCACCTATCCACCTGCAGCTCCTCGGTCTCCCCATCCAGCCAGGTCTGACAACCCCCCAGAAAATACCCGGATCATCCAGGAAACAACCCCCACGGATCCCTCCAGTCCTGCAGAAGCTTCGTCTACTTCTCCAATTAAAAATAAATCATTTAAACTTACCTTCTGTCTCTCTGTGGTGATTCTTCATGTTGTGGGTCAAGAAATTGCCCTCAAACATGACAGCAAAGCCGAAGAGCAAACAGTTCCTGCAGAACAAGCTGATATTGTTAGACTCCTTAAGAGTCCGCCAGACACACGGTTCCATCCAGCTGTTGTGACCCGGGACATCTCTGGACTGGAGTCGGTACCACGGTATTCTACAGCCCTCCGGTGCCAGAGGTCAGCCGACCCCCGCGGCCGCGACTTTCGGATCCACCAAGAGGGTCTCTCGAAAACAGGTACAGTAGACATGGCAGATCGTGTCGGATGTTCTTCTGATGAGAAGAACTTTATAGCTTAGAGCAAACCAAATTCTTTTCACCAGAACTCAGCTTATTTTGATAAGGAAGCTCTGACTATCACATCCACACAGAGGTTCCTTCACCACGTTTAGTTACATCCACTCACAGTAAAGGCTTAGTTAATTAGTCATGTTTTAAATTGTTTGTAAAATAAAATCTTACTTTTATAAACCTGACTCTTTCTTGAAGTAACATGAAGTGTGGTAGATCACTGAAAAAGCAAACAACCTAGATCTTCAGATAATTACAATAAAGACCTCGCAGGTTAATATTTTATATTTATATATTCTATATAAATATATATAGAATATATATATTTATATATTCTATATATATTTATATAGAATATATAAACATATATAGAATATATATATTTATATATTCTATATATATTTATATAGAATATATAAACATATATAGAATATATATAGAATATTACATATTCCTGTTTATAACAAATAAAAATCATCTATTTGCCTACGCTACAAAAGTAAATTGTGTGCTTTGAACATTATTTGTGCCTTTTTATATTCGATTAACTCATAAAATTTAAGGGTTTTCAAATGAACAAACAAAATGTTAGTTGTTTTTATATGGTTGGATTGAGTTATAATTCTTATTGCTCTTTTTGTAACTATAATAGGAAGACTATTAGTTATGTATGCATTATCTCTGGGCAGTAAGTCATATAAGGAAGCAGCGAAGAACAATAGAGTGAGTGTAATGATTCCTTGTTCAGGAAATACTTTGTTTTGTACACAATTGCAACGGATTTTGACATTTTTATTTTCACGTGATTTATGTGGGACTTCCAGTTAAGCTTATCATAAACTATCACTCTTAAGACATTTATTTTCATTTACTGTTACAGTTTCAAGTCCATGAACCCTGATTTTCAAAGCATTATTCATTAGTCTTGTGCCAAAAATAATGTGTTTTGTTTATATTTAACGATAGCTTATTTATATTCAACCAGTTTTTAAGTATATTTGATTCTTTTTCCACCGTAGTCAGGAGCTGTTCAAGGTTCTTATCTGAGCAGTACAGAGTGGTATCATCAGCAAACAATACATATTTGAACAATTTAGAAACATTGCACATATCATTTATATATATAATATAAAAAATGTAGGGCCTAGCACTGAGCTCTGAGGAACACCACTAATTATCTTCAACTGCTTAGACTTTACACTGTTTATTTCATCATATTGATATCTGTCATCCAGGTAACTTTTCATCCATTTATGCAATCCCTCTTATGCCATATCTCTCTAGTCTATTCATTAATATAGAATGATTGATTGCATCAAGTGCTTTTTGTAAGTCTATAAAAACACCGACAGCATCTTCCTTGTTATCTATTGCCGTTGACATCCCTTCTACAAGTTCCATCACTGCCATCGAAGTGGACCTTTTCTCCCTAAAGCTATATTGGTTGTCATTTAGTAGATTGTGCTTCTCTACATATTTATCAAGTCGATCAGCAAATAATTTTTCTAAAATGTTTGAGAACTGTGGAAGTAGTGATATTGGTCTGTAGTTAGTAAATTGACACCTCTCTCCGTTTTTATGAATGGGAATAACTTCATGTTTGAGGGGAACGTGCCGGATTACAACCGTATGTGAGAGGCTGCACTATGTATTCTATAATATTTTAACTAACATCATGTCAGTACCAAAACAATCTGTGGAACGTTTGTGTTTAAGTATTTTCACAATATCAGGTATTTCTCTTAGGCTAAAATAGAGCCTAATTCCATCCTGTAGTTGTTTTTTTTTTTAAACACAGAGCAGTTTTGTTTACCTGTTTTCCCGCTACGTTTCGTTTGCGACTGCAAACTTCCTCAGGCTCAGCTCAGGCTACAGAAACTAGAGCCTGATTTTCACGCAGGCGCAGGCAGGGACAGCCCGGCCGGTCTTTGGGGTCCTTCGCGTGGCACTAATAAACAAGTATGGCGGAGGAGTTCAGCTGAGCTTCTCTGAGTAAACGGTTAAAGGTTTCAGTGAAAATGACTCATTTTTAATCGGAACATCTCGCGGATGCGAGCTGTTCGGACCGGTTCGGGCGAGAGGAGAAGTTCGGGGGAGAATGAGCGGCTGGGCGGGCTTTTCTGATGAGGAGCTTCGGAGAATCCACCAGAAAGGTAACCGAACCGCTCGCTTCAGCTCGTTCCCTGGACCGAATCTCTCACCGCGTTCTTTACGGTGTTCTTGTCCAGACGCCGGGGCCGCGTTCCGCGGGCGGAAGCCTCCAGCCAGCCGGACTCGGCAGCAGCTACAGCGGGAGCAGGCACTTCAGTTAGCCGGCTCATGCAGCCTCCCTCCGGCGCAGCAACTCAACAAACTCCCGGTGAAGGAAGAGTCGGAGCCCGCAGCCCGGCCCGGAGCTGCAGCTGTCGGAAAGGAGGTCCAGCCGAAACCCGCGGACATGCAGCCGAAGGAGGAGGAGGCGCAGGAGGTCAAAGAGTTGGAGAAACAAGAGGTGGAACTGTTAGTATCATCCTTACTTACTTCTGTTTGGTGTGTGTTCACACACACCTGGTAAGCACACCTGGTCTCAGGTTGAGAACCTGTTAGAACATCAGGAGTCAGGTTCTGGGTTTAGGTCTGCTCTGTCCGGGTTTGTGTTCCAGTTACCAGGTAAGGCAGGAATATCTGACCAACAATAGAATTGATTGGTTTTTATTGGATTGTTGTAAAATGCCAACACCACACACCAGCATCCACAGCAGAACATTCTGGATGTAGCCGGGAAGACCTGCTGGAGCTGGAGAGTTCTGGGTCTGTGGTACCAGGATCCCGTCCTGTACCGGACTTTCCTGTAATATGTTGGCAGGTTCTGGATCAGAGTTCTGTTGTTGGTTTCACTCCGACCAGAATGTTCAAGCGCTTTAATCATTCTGGCAGAAAAACTAAAGGGGTGAGCCGGGTTCGTCAACCCGTAACAGAAGACCCAGACAATCCAGGATAAATATTTGGTGAGATGCTTTTTTTTGTCCCTGCAGGCGTGAAAAGACCCGTCTGGAGCAGCTGCAGCAGGAGCAGAAACGAATCGAAGAGCGAAACAAACGCAAAAAGGCCCTGCTGACCAAAACTATCGCAGAGAAGTACGAGCCGAAGCGTAGCCGTTTCCTGCAGCAGAAGCTGGGTTCAGATTAAAGCCTCGGTATCTTCTACAGATCCAAGCAGACTCAAGCCGAGGCAGTGAAGCTGAAGAGAATCCAGAGAGAGCTGCAGGCTCTCGATGACATGGTGTCTAACGACATCGGCATCCTGAGGGGCAGGATCGAGCAGGCCAGCTGGGACTACTCTGCTGCCAGGTACCGACAGTGTTGGGCAAGTTACTTCAAAACTGTAATGCATTATTTATTACTTGTTACCCTCATTTTAAAGTAATTCATTACATTACAAAATTACTGGTTTTAAAATGTAAGACATTACACTACTTTTGCATTACTTTAAGTTACTTTTACCAATACAACTTCAATATGAATCTGGACATGTGACGCTCAGTGAGCTCATGACATATATGTGGAAGGTGATGTGGTGTCTGAGCTAGGGTTGCTGTTAAAAACAGTCAGATATAATAACAGTTCTTTAAAATGATTGTTTATTAAATAAAAGCAACAACAACCTGTACTCTCAGCACGCTGCCATCTTATAGGGCCATCTGAGCAGGGAGTGAGGTGTGGTGGGGGCTCCAAGCCTATATTTGCCTTGGTCCCCAAATGCCTTGATACGGCCCTGGATGTGGGACTGACTTCTGGGGTGATCTGATTCTATCACATGTATAAATATTAAATGCTTATATATTATTGCTTTTCACTGGTAAAAATGTGTATTGGGGATAAATCTACCTACTTTTTTCTTTTCAAGCACTTTGTTTTGTTTTCTTGATTTTATTTGAATAATTTCTGGCCCTTTCTCTCTCTAACCTTCCTGCATGCTGCATGTTTTCTCCGTCTTCCAGAAAAAACTGTTTCCTAGATTTCCCACTTTCTGTCAGCCAAAGGGATCTTCACATGCGCGGCGCTCCAGCAGTAATTAGTTGAAATCATCGGGGCACAGATTATGAACTCAGCTGAGGCAAAGCACGTCAGAAAAGCACAAAATACCAGAGAACATGCGCTGATATGAACGATCGCAAGTGAATTATTTTGTTTTAGTGGAGCGATTTTGTGAATGTTGCAGCGGCCGCGTGCAGGAGCAGCTGGAGTAGTTGAGCCGTTACCGCTGCGTCCTCTCTGCCCGCAAAGCTGAGTCCATAAATGACGTCATATATGCAGATACTGGATCTTTCTTCGGGTTTCCCGCAATTTGAATTTTTAAGGAAACACATCTTGATTCTGGGTTTAAAAAATGCATTGTAATTACCGCGTTACTGACAATTGTACCGAGTAAATATTACCATTTTCTTTCCCTGTAATGCCTTACATTACCACATTACAGCAAAAAGCAATGCATTACAGTAATTAATTACTTTTGTACCGCATTACTCCCAACACTGGGTACCAACAGACCAAACCCACTCTCCAACACGTCTCTAAACGCCTGCGAAGGCTCTCGCTCTCCTCGTGTGAGTCTCGGGAGCTTCACTCTCCTGCTGCTGGACGTGCAAACTTGTTTTAAAGAGATTTGTGAGTAGTGGGAGGAGCTGGAGGTCCGATATCAGGCATGCTGGTGCTGAACTGTGAACAAACACGATTCAGACACTTGAGAGTAAAAGTGAAATGATGAGGACGCATGATTGTGAGAGGGTGAACACTGTAGCTGTGTAGTGTTGGAAAGGTCATGACCCAGTCCAGCCGTGTGCTCCCTCTAAACCAAAACAAACACTGTTTATAACCGTGTCTAGTCACCCTCTCCTGTTTTATCGCTGCTCCAGTCACAAGTCTCCTTCAGAAGACACGACTGTTTATACCTGAATAAAGACCCAGATTCTGTTCTCTACAGGGATGTTCTCACCTTACAGATGTATTACAGTCACAGAGCATAAATGATCTGAAATGAACTGAATGAAACTTGATTGCTTGACAGTAATAATGAATCAAAACAACTGTTTGTTGTTTCAGATCTTAAACACACCAAACAAGCCGACTGAAGAGTTAATATCAGTCATGTCACATAATAATATTAGTACATTAACTATGACAGTTCCATCACATTTAGACCACACATGGGGTGACGGTGGCACAGGAGTTAAGAGCTCGCCCCGTAATCGGAAGGTTGCAGGTTCGAGCCCCGCTCAGTGTGTCGCTGTCGTTGTGTCCTTGGGCAAGACACTTAACCCACGTTGCCTGCTGGTGGTGGTCAGAGGGACCGGTGGCGCCTGTGCTCGGCAACCTCGCCTCTGTCAGTGCGCCCCAGGGCAGCTGTGGCTACATCGTAGCTCATCCCCACCAGTGTGTTAATGTGTGTGTGAATGGGGTGAATGACTGATTGTGTTGTAAAGCACCTTGGGGGGGTTCCAGGACTCTAGAAGGCTCTATATCAAATACAGGCTGTTTAGATAGTAAGAGAAATTGTTCTGATAAGTCTCTTGGGACCAGTGCTGCCAACTGCCCCCGACTCAAAGTACCCAGAAAGCCTCCAGATGATGCCACACAGTAATTTACATATTTGTGACATCATGACCTCCACATTGGTGTTTATACTGACTGGTTAATCCCAGAGGGGAATTAGAGTTTCAGTACACACAATTCAGAGATCAGACATACATACATAGACACATGACAAGAATTGGTGACTGTGGTCATTCACAACCCGAGTCGTGCTACCTTAATAGAGATAAGAGGGTTACATGAGGATTGGTTCAGGTGGAGGGAAAAAAAAAGGCACTTCAGTTACCCTCCACAGGGAGGGCAGCTTTGCTCTGCAAAAAAACACCTCACAGAAATGCAACAGACTTCAGACAACACAACAAAAGTGTCCACTAGGTGGGGTGGTAGGTTGGGACTATCCCCACTTCAGTTCCTGCAGCCACGATAAGTAGCGCATGTCACCTCAGTGTGGATAGTGGGAGGAGCATTGAGGGTTGGAGGGTTGCAGTGACCCTGGAACGTTTCAGCGGCCTTCCCGCAGTCCCGCCCAGGCTGGGAAAGGAGACAGAGTTGCCATAGCGACGGCACATTCCAC